AACATCGACTGTTCCACTTCCTGGTTGGTTCTTGCACGTGCCCTGACTGGGAGTTGAATCCGGAACCTTAACGTATGGGGACGACACTCTAACCAACTGAGCTACGTGGACAGAGTCCCCCATCCCTTTCTGACCCACATCCTGGACCTCAAAGCGCTCTCCCATTTGGACCCACGGAGTCACATGAGCGGGTATTACAGAGGCTCAGAGAGCGTGAGCGATTTGCCCGAGGTCACAGAGCCTGAGGGGGACCCAGCCCCGTTCTCCGGGATATTGAGTTCTTTCCTAGCAACAGACTTGCTGTTTCCTGCCCAGATGCCCAACTGAGTGTCAGAGTCTGACCTCGATCCCTCTTGCTGCTGCCCTGTTAGCCGTGTGGACGGGAAGCGGCCTCCGTGACCTTACCCCATGCACGCAGGATGACAGGGGCCGCAGCCGCCGCCTCCCCCTGGGCCTTCCCTCTCCTGGTGGCTTACCCCTGCTCACCAGCCTCACCAAGGAGCTGGAAGAACGTGGGCCGGACCTCAAAAACACACCCAGCTGTGGGGCCCTCCACACCCCACCTCCATCATGTGTCCCTAGATGGGTGTCTGATGCGGCCTCCCCGCCAGGGCTGGTGGAGCAGAGCTGGGTGGAGGGAACAATGATCAGAGAATATTCCTTATCCGACACGAGGGGCCTTCCTGGGACCTCCCCAAAGCCAGAGACACCCTGGAGCTCAACCAGTGACACCCCGCATCTCTCAACCCGACTCCTGGCCCCAAGCAGGGGTGCCGTTCTCTGCTCTGGGGTGCAGAGGCCTTAGCTAGTGACTAAGGACGAAGCTCGACCCCTCCACAAGCTACCACACACCGGGACCACTCTGGGCGTCGGGAAAAAGGCCAGAGAGACTCAAGGGAGGCAAGCAAGGCCAAGGCAGAGCCCGGCTGTCCACACAAGAAGAAGGAAGCGGGCGGAGGGCCCTGGGAAGCACCGTGGGGAGAGGAAGAGGAGGGGAGGTGGGAGAGGCTTCTGCCTCTTGGGGAGGCTGGCTTGGGCCCAGGAGCCTTTAAATGGATGCAGCTCAGACCAAGGCAGATGGCTGGAGCGCTCTGGCTCGGTGTTTCGGCGAGCCCGGCAGGTTCCCTCCTGAGGGCAGGAACGACACCTCTGGCTCACGTCTCCCTCTCCGTGCCCAGCACAGAGCGAGCGTTCCTCAAAAGGCAGGTCAGGGCAGCCTAAAAATTAACAAGTGCCTGAGGCAGGGGGTGGGGGGACCTCGGCAGACAAAACAAGATCCTGTTAAGATTCAGGCAAACTGAGCCCGGCCGGTGTGGCTCAGTGCTTGAGCGTAGACCTATGGACCAGGAGGTCATGGTTCGATTCCCGGTCAGGGCACATGCCCAGGTTGCGGGCCTTTTCCCCATTGTGGGGCGTGCAGGAGGCAGCCAATCAATGATTCTCTCTCATCATTGATGTTTCTATCTCTCTTTCCCCCTCCCTTTCTCTCTGAAATCAATAAAAATATTTTTTTTAAAAAAAGAAAAAGATTTCTACGTGTGCCAGGCACAAAGACCAGGGCCGTAGGAAGACGCCTCTGTGGACCAATGAACTTCGTCCAGAAGATACATCTAAGACCAGTTCAAGGTGAAGTTGAATTGTGTAGTCAAAACAATATTAGTAACGATCACCAACATGCCTCCTTGCACCCTTGACAAGTATTTGTCATCGTTAAGGATGGCTCCTCACTAGGCTGTGTGTGATTATCCTGTTGACGCTTACATCCCCTAGGTGCCAGGCACCTTGAGCAGACCCATTCTGCAGATGAGGAAACTGAGGCTCAGTTAAGTGAGGAGCTGGCCATAGTCTGGGCACACAGGGCACACATAGTCTGGGCACACAGGGCACACATAGTCCGGGCACACAGGGCACACATAGTCTGGGCACACAGGGCACACATAGTCTGGGCACACAGGGCACACAGTCTGGGCACACAGGGCACACATAGTCTGGGCAACAGTCTCACCAACAAGCTGGAAGAAAGGGGGCCAGACCTCAAAAAGACCAGGTTTCGGGCCACACTACTGCTCTGAGTCCCTCTGAGTGCTCTGCGATATGAACTGTGTGGGGAAGGGTGAGGACTTGGTTACAAGGCACTGACGACTTACCGAACCTTATCTGCAGAGGAGGATAAAAATCTCTGCGGTGGCAGGCACAAAAGACAGAGGGCCATGGCCAAGCTGAATCCAGATGTGTCTAGTCAGGGCCACACAGCTGGAGCTTTCAGACCGTCGCCTGCTCCTCACACACACAGACCAGCAGAACAGTCTTTCCCAGGGGCAGGAGGTACAGCTGGACCCTTTGGGGGACCCTCTGGGCCCCAAGCGGTGCTGCAGCCAGCTGTGCTGTGCCCGAGGTGACCTTGGACACCAGGTGATGCCTACATACGCCACAAACCCCGGAACCACTGGTGGGTCTTCGTGGGGTTCCTGGGAACCACGATCTACATGACAAACACTTGTCAAAGATGCCAACTGCTGGGCCCAGACCAGACCCAAAGACAGCGCGCGTGGCATTTAACAAGCGCTCCAGGAGACTCTGACATTTGAGCCTCCTTCCCAAGCGCTCCTCTCCTGACCCCACACACTGCGCCCCCTGAACAGAGAGCAGATGGCTCCACTCCACATCCGAGGAAGCCCATCTGGCTTCCGTTGAAGTAAACGAGGCATGCGGCCCGCTGGTCGCGAGTTTGACATGCTTGGAGAGGCTGTCTCTGGCCTTCTGCTGGGAGACCTCTCATTCAACAAATACCTGTGGACCTACTAAGTGCCAATGCAACCAAACAGACCAGGGCCTGCACTGGGGAGCTGGCATCAGCCAGGAGGACACACAGGAGACCAAGAGGCCACCACCAGTCCCCCAGCCTACCCCTAGTAAGGGCTCTGGGAAAAGAACCCGGCTAGCTCTCTCCCTGAGAGAAACTGTTCCATGTCTCCAAAGGCCGTTAAAAATAGCCCAGCCCAGCACCTCCAGGCCAGTTCCTAACGGATCCTCACTGACTCGACTTCAAAGGTGGCAGATGTGCCCAGAGAGAGGGGGGTCGACAAAATGACTGCCAAGGCCCCTTCCCATCCAGAATCCACCAACATGGCTTATAGCAGAAACCAGAAGGGGCACGAGGAAAAGCCCCCGACTTCTCGGCGTGAGCACTGAGATAACTGTGGAGACACGGAGACCTGAGTTCAAGTCGCGACGCCGCCTAGTACCTGGCCGTGGGGTCTTGGCATGCCACGCACCTGTCTGAGCCTCGGTTTCCTCACCTGCAGCCGTGCCCAGGGCGGCAGCGAGGATTCACTGTGTTACCAATGCAAAGAGCTCAGCGTGTGACGTGCCCACGAAGCAGAGAACCTGGCTCCATGCGGCTCTCAGGTGGCTTCCCTGCACCACCATGATGGAGACACCCCGGTGCAGCCCAAGCCACGTCTCCTGGCACAGGAGCCCGGAAGTCCCACCTGCAGCCTGCCTGCTCACAGGTGCTGATGGTGCCTAGAGAAAGGCCCAGCAAATCACACAAAATAGCAGCCAAACTGGGAGGACCCACCCACGCACCTTGGAAAGGGTAGGAGTAGCAAGGAGGGAGTCCGAGTCCTCAGAGCTCGCCCCTGAGAGGGGCAGCTCCCGGGATCTGAGCTCCTTGCTGCAGATTCTACTGGAGAGAGGCCAGGGCCTGTCAGCAGACCAGCACCCACTCAGGAAAGCCCCTTTGTTCCAAGCACACCGGTGCCAGGGCCATGGACCTGAAGCAGGGGCTTGGACAGACCTGCAAACGTGCCCAGAAGGATGGGGGGGGGGGGGGAGAGAATGTGTGCGCGCACACGAGTGCGCGCTGGGGGAGCCGGAAGCAGAGGTTGTGCAATGCACCATCAGAACCTGCCTCCATCGCCTCCATCAACGCGGGCTGGCTGTCGATCTGCTGACTCCAGGGAGGGTGCAGAGGGGCTGGACCCACGCAGCTGCCCACGTTGGGATCTGAATTCCAACCCAAGCCCAGGGCCCCTGCACGAGCCCTACCAGAGGATGCAGCTGTCCCCCCTCCCACCGCCCCCCAAGAAAAGCCGGTGGGCCAGGACCCCGTGCCATCAGTCCCCAGTATGTCAGAGCATCTCCCCGAGGCTGCGGGAAGAGAGGAGTCTGTAGGGAGAAGCTGTGGCGGGCGGAGCTGCACAAGTGGAGAGAGACCCGCTGGGGCCGATCTAGAGAAGTCGGAAATGGACAGACCCTCCTCCCAGGGGTGCTCCCAGGGGGTGAAATGCTGACATGGACCAGATCACCGGGGGCTGTATAAACTCACTTCCCAGTTTGGCAGATAGAGATAGAAGCGGGAGATTGACATGGGAGCCAGAGGAGAATTCAGCCGGAAAATCCAACAGGGCGCCCAGGACCCTTGGCCGCCCCCGCTGCCACCAGCTCTCTGACAAGTCTCCTCCCCCCACCCCTACCCCCCCCCCCACACACACACACACGATGGGGCCAGGGAGGGGGCGACAGGCCAACCTCGCAGTGGCAGCAGCAGTGGCATCGTGATGCATGAATCACCCGCCCCGCCGCGCTAGTGCCATCGGCTCGGCGCAGCCGGAACCACCGCGCCACCAGGCGCCCCCTGCTGGGACCACCACCCTGGCCCACGCGCGCCCTGCCCTTTCGGACAGCCGCAGAGAGGGGGCTGCGGGTGGGTTGGGGCTCTCCCTCCCGGCCTGGGGGTGGCTCCTCGCACCCCGACAGGCGACACGCGCCCCAGGTGTCGGGGGCGGGATGCCTAGAACAATAGGGCCAGGTGTGGGGCTGGGAGCTCGGTCCGCGGGCTTCCTCGGTGGCCCCGGCAGAGGCAGGGCAGGGAACGACCGAGGGGAGGGTGGCGGCGTGGACGCGATGGGGAGCGGACCTGGGGCGGGGACCAGGGCTTTGGGGGCGACAGGCGTGCAGGAGGGGCGCTGGGCGGGGGGTCCCGGGCGCGCACTCACAGTAGGTCTTCCTGGTCAGCTCCTCCACAATCTCGGGCTTCAACTTGCTGTTGGATTTCCCCATCCTCGGCGGCCGCGGCCCCTGCCCCCGGGCCGGACCCGGCGGGGCGCCCAGCGGGAGCGGATCGGGCAGGCGCGGGCCGGGACGGCCGGGGCGGGGCGCGCGGAGGCCGGCGGGCGGGCTGGGCCGGGCCCGGGCCGCGCCTTTGTCTGCGCCGAGCCCGCGCGGCCCGGGCTGGGGGCTCCGCGCGCGGCGCTCCGCGGCCGGTGGCACCTCGCGGCCCTGGACGCCGCGCGGGGACCGGGGCGAGCGCCGCCGCCGGGCAGGCCGGGCCGTGGGCCGCCGCCCTCTCCGGGCGCCGCGGCGCGGGCTGCGCTGGGCTGGGCGCCGACGCGGCCGCGGTGCTGCCGGTCGTCCCTGGTTACTGGGCTCCGCGGCACATGCTCGCTGCTGCGCTGCCTGCGCCGCCGCCCCTGCTTCCCCGCCTCCCGCCCGCACCGGCGCGCCAGGGGTGGGCCCCGAGCCGCCACTCAGCGCTGGCGCCACCTCCCGCCCCCGCACCCCCCGCCCCCCCGCCGGGCCTGCGCCCGCGAACCGCGGCCCCGCGAGCACCGAGTCCAGGCGATGGAGGGGCTCCTCTCGCCTCGTCGTGTCCCGGGGCGGAAGCGGGAGGCCAGCCCTCCGCCCCCCTTAATCAATCTCGGGCGCTCCAGTCACCACCACCACCCCAACCCCCCTTCCCCCCCCCCCCCCCCCCCGGCCACACACACCCCAAGGAGCCGGGCGGGCGGGGTGGGCCCTAAAGATCTGCCGTGAATGAGGCCAAGTCTCTCTCCGCCTGGCGGGATTCATTCATTCGACCCGGATTCGCTGGGCGCTGGGGACACGCAGTGAGCTGGACTGGACGGGCGCTGCTATGCAGGATGGCACACATTACGTGCGGCACCTACCACCGCCGGGGGAAGGTGACCTCCAAGCCCAGGGGGCGGGAGGGTGGAGGGGTGGGAAAGGGATCAAGGTCCAGAAAACCTGGAGGAGGGAAGGAGGCCTGTGCCCACAGGGAGCGCTTTCCTGCTCTGAGCCCCCAGGGGCGGGCAGGCGAGCCGAGAGGCAGGAGAGAAGGGGGAGGGCCAGGGGCAGGCCTCCCCTCCCCCCCAGGAGCTGGGCCTCTGGTATTCCAGCTTCCCCTGCTCCCCTGCTCCCCTGGCCTCCAGTTGCTGTGTGCTCCCAGCAGGCAGAGGCTGGGCAGGAGTTGAGGCCAGGCCAGAGGCCAGGGCCCCGCCTGGCTGGACAGAGACTAGAGGGCTGGGAGAGGTGTGGCCACCCCATCCGCAATGTCGGGCGGTGGGACTGCGCCTGTCCGGGCTTTATCGCTTTTTCTCCTTAGCAACCAGCACAGCCTTCACAGCTTTCATTCCTCGTGTGTTCGCGGTCTCCTCCACTAGATGAGCCCCGAGTGCAGGGATTCTCGTCTTATTTGCAGTTGTATCTCCAACGCCTAGAAGGCACCTGACTTGCAGCAGCTGCTCCACAAACTCGGGAATGAGGGAGAAATGGCAGAGCTGGGGGTGGGGGGGACAGGCGAGCTTGGGAGGAGGCGGGGCTGAGGTTTGCACAGGGTCTCGCTTTCTCCCCACGTTGGCACAGTGTTCAGGCCTCAGGGGGTTCGGGAAGCACAGAGGAGCTGGGGGGGACCATGAAACTCTGCTTATGGCCCGCAGTGTTTCTCAGCCCCCAAACGCTGCCCCCCTACCTCCAACCATACCCCGCCCCCAGCTTTCCCCCAGCGCCTTGCCTGGGCCCAGCCCAGGCCCCAGGAGGCTTTCAGATGAGGGAGCGCCTACTGTCCCCCCAGAGCTCATTCTATAAAGGAAGTGGGGAGGGCACGGACCCCAGGAACCAGGGCCGGGCCACAGCTGAAGGGACCCAACGATGAAGACACTGGCCCAGAGTGGACACCAGTGAGGGACCCACAGCGAGGGGCTCCTGGTTGGCCAGACAGCCTGAGCGCCCTGCCTGGGAAGAGGGGGAGCCTGCGTGGGGACCTGGCCAGGGTGACAGCGACCACGGTAGCATTGAAGACCTACAGAAATCAGGTGCTCCTGAGTATTTCTTGCCCACGCCTGTGTGCCAGGCGCTGTCATGGCCAATGTGGCCATGTCCTTGGAGAGCTCACAGGCCTCCCCTCTCCCCTTGGCCTGCCTCACAGTAGTCCCAAGATCACCCAGGTGACAGACTCCACAAGGGGAATGGAGAGGGCACTGGGGATCATACCCAGAAACACCTGTTGGGGGGAGTCAGGGAGGTTCCCCGGGCTGCCGTGGAGTTTACGGTTCATCCAGGGGAAAGCGAGGTAACAATAACCTGCCCAGAGTGGATCCGTCGGGTCGCTGTTGTCCTGTGCACCAAAGGATTGCGGTTCAATTCCGGGCACATACCTGGGCTGGGATTTCATCGCCAGTCGGGGCACATGGGGGAGGCAACCAATCATGTTTTTCTCTCACATGAATGTTTCTCTCTCTCTCCACCTTCCTCTCTCTAAGCATGTCCGTGGGTGAGGACCATAAACAAGACAAAAACACAACAATAACCAAAATGCAGGAGTAAATATAAAACGTCAGAGGTGAAAACACCCAAATGAAGCAGGGAAGGGGGGCGGAAGTGCTGGGCGGGAGGGGGAGATGTTGAGGGCAGGCGGCCTCACGGAGAGACAGACGCTATTGGAACAGGGACCTGAAGAGGAGGTGAGTCTCCACAGCTCACCAAGGGCCGCCTTCTCTCCTGCCTCTCCACTCGGTTCCTCTAGGGCCCTGGTCGGCAAACTGCAGCTCGCGAGCCACATGCGGCTCTTCAGCCCCTTGAGTGTGGCTCTTCCACAAAATACCACATGCGGGCGTGCACATACAGTGCGATTGAAACTTCGTGGCCCATGCGCAGAAGTCGGTATTTTGTGGAAGAGCCGGTATTTTGTGGAAGAGCCACACCGAAGGGGCCAAAGAGCCGCATGTGGCTCTGAGCCACAGTTTGCCGAGCCGCAGTTTGCCGACCACTGCTCTAGGGAACGTCTAGACCTGGGGTCCTACAGGAAACTCCACGCACACGCACACGCACGTGCACGTGCACACGCACACGCACACGCACATGCACACGCATGCACACACTGTGGCACTGGAATGTGACCAGTCCCAGGGCAATGTGCTGAAAGCATAAAATACACACCGGCTTTCCAAGGTTTGTACAAAATAAAGAGAACAAAAAATAGCTCATTAATATTTTTTAACAATTTGATTACCTATTAAACCAGTGACGGCGAACCTTTTGAGCTCGGCGTGTCAGCATTTGAAAAACCCTAACTTAACTCTGGTGCTGTGTCACATATAGAAATTTTTTTATATTTGCAACCATAGTAAAACAAAGACTTATATTTTTGATATTTATTTTATATATTTAAATGCCATTTAACAAAGAAAAATCAACCAAAAAAGTGAGTTCGCGTGTCACCTCTGACACCCGTGTCATAGGTTCGCCATCACTGCATTAAACAGATAGTTTTTATATAATGGATTAAAGTATTACTAAAATTTATTCCACCTGCTTAATATTTTTTAAGTGCCCACTGAGCACTTAATGACACGTGTGGCTCCCCCGCATAGTATGTCTGCGGGACAGCACTGTCTTAGACAAGTTTCAAGTCTCCCTTTAAACATCACCTCCGTGGAGCCTTCCTGGACCCCCAGGTCCCCGTGTTTGCAGCCACCATGGTCCTGGGGCTTTGCAGCACTTCCTTCGACAGACCTCCTGAGTCACATACAGAACAGAGATGTGGAGGGAGGCATGCCCAGGGTAGTCGGCTGCCAGGGGTGAGGTGGGGAGGGTGCTGGCCCCGTGGAGGGGGAGGGGAGAGGAGGACGGGTCCCACCGAACCCCCAGCCTGGAGCACGAGGCCCCGAGGCCCCGGTTTAGTCCGGGTCCTGTCCCTCTGCACTGTGCGGGTTTTGGCAAATCCCTGCCCATCTTCTCACGGGGAAGGGTTTATACGGATCTAGAATGCTTTGCGCAAGCCACGGCAGCGTCGATACCTTTGACCTAGCACGAACGTTCTAAGCTCCTAAGAAAACGATGAGCCCTCGATAGAAAGTTGGGGAAGGGACCTGAATGGGTGAGACAAAAGCAAGTGTCCACAGGAGAGACATCCCTTACGAGTCAAAGAAGCAAATTGGGAAAGATGACAGTGTTAATGGTCAGACCCAGTATTGGCGAAGGAGCGCGAAAACGGGCATCCCGGCCCTGCCAGGCAGGGTGCTGTGGGTACAAGCTTTCTGAAGAACAGCTTGGCAGTAAATACCCATGGCCTCTGACGCGGCAATTCCACTTCTAGGAAATTGTCCTCAGCCAACAATTAGAGCTCTATATGAACGGACGTCAAGACTCAGCGATGCTACTCCAGCAGCATTTAAACCACAGCAACAAGTGGCATCGACCTACGTATGGGCAATGGGGGGTGAGGCTGTCGTCCATGGCATCCTCATCCTGTCAGCAATGTTAAATACAGCACGCCGACACCAAGTCACCTGGCATAGGTCCGTGTGCAGCACAGGAAGCGCAAAACACTTCTAAAAACCTACAGAATCAGTCCTGGCTGGTTGCTCAGTGGTTAGCAGTGGTTCTCAACCTTCTGGCCCTTTAAATACAGTTCCTCATGTTGTGACCCAACCACAAAATTATTTTCGTTGCTACTTCATACCTGCAATGTTGCTACTGTTATGAATCGTAATGTGAATATCTGATATGCAGGATGGTCTTAGGCAACCCCTGTGAAAGGGTCGTTCAACCACCAAAGGGGTCGCGACCCACAGGTTGAGAACCGCTGGGTTAGAGCTCGGCCCCTGGACTGAAGGGTCTGGGTTCAAGGGCATGTATCTTGATCCTGGCCTGGGTCTGGGCATGTGCAGGAGGCAACCAATCGATGTGTCTCTCTCACATCGATGTTTCTCTCTCCCCCCTCCCTCCCTTCCACTCTCTCTAAAAATCAATGGGGAAGAAATATCCTTGGGTGAGGATTAACTAAAAACCTACAGAATCATCCCTATTATGTAGGGGTGGGGGCGGAGATCTACATACATCGCTGTGATTTTTTAAATATATATTTTTATTGATTCAGAAAAGAAGGGAGAGG